ACTCTGGATTTAAGAGGATGACAGTTCAAGACGCGGGAGAAGCAGAAGGAAGAGGAAAAGAGCTCGGACTGGCTGAGAAGAGAGCTCACAGGAGGAAGGCAGTTGAGCTCCAGACGTCCGCGTAGTGCCGTCAGTGGAAACCCATGTTGCTGAGAGGCTGTGATGACTCGCAGTGCTGTTACTGCTGCTGCCTTACTGTAACGTTCGTCTTTGTGCACAGTTGAAACCAACAATGCCTCTTCTCTTGTCGGAGTGTGACAGCTCGGCATGGACAAACCCCCAAATCCCACAGATGAACAGGAGCTCGGAGCTGAGATGAGACTGAATCGAGGAGTCTTTTTCCGTCAGGAGCCGGATACCTTCCTCTCTGGGTTTGATTGAGGCTGTCTGCAGTGTCCAGACGAGCTCAGTGATTGTTTGTTAGAGACCAGGGGGTCACAGCGTCTCTGAAGAGACGGACGCGTCGAAAAATCAATTCGCCATTTCGCTTCGGCTCAGCTTCGCTGGGTGGTGGGTGACGCCAGTGAGTATTTAATTCTGACTGGTATCAGCTGAACTGTTTTTGAAAGTGGTGACAGGAGGACGAGGCAGGTTCACCTTTTCGTTCTCGCTCGGCGACTTTTCTATTTCAAAGTGGTGCTCTCTATGCTGTTTATTTTGATTTAAGTTTCATCGGCAGAAAGCATAAAAGTCTCGACATTAATCAACATTCGTGGATTAAATTCCCCCTCACACACTGTATTTCGGGGATGTGATGTGGGTCCGTGTTTGTCCTTTCAGAGACATAATATAAACAGGCATCTACTAGGGCTGAAAGGTCTTTAAAAACACTGAATGCAGTTCAAATAAAAGCCTTAAAAGGTATCAGAAAGTCTTGAATTTCATGTGCAAAGATCTTGAATGCTTTCCCTACCTGCCGTAGACGATAACATTAGTCATAACTTGTTGCATGCAGTTGCAGGCTAAGTATACACCTAAAGCAGGGTGTCTGCATGTCCTTTAAAAGTCTTGAGATGTGTTACTTCTTATAAATTGTGCCTTAAAAGTCAATAAACAGTCTTAAATTTGAGTTTGTGGGGTCTTAAATGCTACAAACATTTTATCTAATTTCTGTTATCTATCTTTTAATTTGTTTTCGTCAAAGTAAGTCAACATCTTCTTTCTGGAAGTCCTCATTTGTGATTTTACAAATATTTAAACCTACTCCTCAGTTTATACTTGCACTTTCCAGTTGGCAAAATGTAGATTAACTTAACTGACTCTAATAACCATGTTCTCACATGAATCCTACCCCTGCACGGGACCAAGTCTACCTTAATACTCACCTGCAGTGACTGAATTTTAATAAAAAAGTCCAAATATCTATCTTAAATTTGATTAAAAACTTTAAAACAAGTAAAACTGGTGCAATAGTGATTGTGGACGCAGAAGGCTATTCGGTCCTTTGTTGGGGAGTTTCCATCAGGACCATCAGACCTGTAGCCAACACACTGTCACTGCTGCCAGCCACAGAAGCTGAGAAGCTCAGCGGCTTGGGTGAACGTCAGTTATTGCAAAAACTTTACTGAACGTAAATCAGTTTGTTATTTTTATTAACAATGTTTAACTGCATGCGATTGTTGGACACACTCCACACTGGTAAATAAAACAAAAACTGCTTATTCTTTTAAAAAGTCATAAAAGGCACCAAATTAATTTAAAAATAAGGCCTTAATTGGTATTAAAGTGTCTTAAATCAATCTGTCAAAGCTCTTAAAAATGCTAAGACGAGAAGTATGATTTTGTGATTAATCGTTTGTCTGATGTTGCACTGTAGAATCTCAAAATAATTGGTAACACCTTTTTTTAAAATAATTGCTTCTGGCATTTACTTAAAATTAAATTGTCCATAACCCTAAGTAATTGATGTCAGTTCTTGTGTTTTGGGGGCTTTCTGCATTCAATCGTTTAAAAAGTCTCAAATATAACTTGCCTGAAGCTGTAGACACTCTGATTAAAACAATCTTATTTTCTTCTATACCAAGATAACAGTGGCACAAAAGAACACAGTTATAATGATCTGGCGGATTTTATACTCAATAATAAGCGAAGTAGGTAAAAAGCAAGACTCATCCTGGAAAACAAAAGAACAATGTGCAAAACAGATAAACACATAATCTGTTAGTGGCAGAAATTATTAGTCATATTATGAGGGCTTTTAGTGGGGAAGTACTGATAAACGTCGTTCATTGACTGTTTTGACCGTTAAAACTGTATTAAATTGCATTCTGTGTGGTATTAAAGGTATAAAAAAGTCTTAAATTTAATCCTGTTGGAGCTGTTGCATAAAGCCAAAGCAAAGAGTTCAAGTTGGTCGCCTTTAATAAAGAGAATTGTACGTAGTTAACAACAGTAAATCAGTAAAGTATGGCAAGATGTTAAGGATCATTTTCATGATTTGTGGAGGTGGTTACTCCAGCATGTGCCATAATGGAAGAGTTTTAATTTTTATTTTATTTCATTTATCTTATTTTATTTTGATTTATTTATTTTAAATAGAGCAAATCTGGTTGCTTGAACTTGTCAGGGAAATCTGATTTTTTTTTTTTTTTTTAATATTTGTAAAATTACAATATTTTACTGTAGTTACCTCTCAGATAAAAAAGAAAACGAAAATGGAAGTATCAATCTTTATAACAGCTACTGTTTATCTTTCCCACCCATCCCAACATTTCAAAAGAATAAAAGAAAATAATATTCATGACAATAATAATATTATAAATAATACATATATACATTTGATTATAATGATAAATAACATAAAATAAATTTAAAAAGTTAATAATTTAAATAAGCTAATAAGAAAAAAATTAACATGAAATAAGAACAGGTTTTGGTTCTGGGAATACCTTTTAAGTAAATACTTTTTCATTTTTTGCCCCCCTTTTTCCATCTTTCTCCTCTCCCTCCTTCCCATCTACTTTTGTACAATACTTTTTTTCTGTACTTTCTTCCATCTTATATCAAACAATTTATCTAGATTTCTGATTCTGTGGTTTATTGTCTCCATTTTATACATTTTGTTAATTGTGTCCTTCCATTTCCTTAGTTGTGGCGCCTCTGGCTTCAGACAGTTTTATGATATCTGTTTATGTGCCCCAACTTTGAAAATTCTAAACACATACTTGCCGGTTTGTTGAAACAGTGATGATGTTCTGCCAAGTAATAACTGCTCAGGTCTCAAAGTGAATGAAAAAATGCCGTTTACAGCTTCACTTATTTCAGTCGAATATTGCTGCAAAACTTTTTGAATTGTGTTTTATTTGAGGTTCAACTGCACCAGGATTTTTAAGACAAAAATAAAATAAATTCACATTCAGTAATTTGCTTATAAATGTAAGTTTTAAATTGAAATGTTTAACGGTGAATTTAAGTTTAAATTAAATCACAGTAATATTCCTAACCATAAAAAACAAATTCAGAATCTATCATTCAAAGCACAAACTATAAACTGAGACCTAGACTCCATAAGGTGATGCAAATAATTCAACAAAGACAAAGTAGCACAGTTTAATATATGTACACTACAAACAGGTGCAGTGGAGTCAAGAAGACAAGTTTAAATTACTTCACTGTCGAGCGTGCTTCTAAGTGTTGCTGAACAGGTCGCTGCTCTGTTGGTGATCCTGACCTCTGACCTCCCTGTGGAGCCATCAGACATGTTTTCTCAGATGACATGAGTCAAAGCTGTCACCATTTAAATTGTGCTTATACTGCAGTTTCCCATCACACCTTCTCTGTTTCACTCAGTTCAGCTGGTTTTGCAGAGCCTTGAATTCATTTTTAAGGGGGACCTTAACTGTACTTACTACCTTGTTCTATTCGTACCTCAGATTACATTTCGTTGCTCTCCTCAGGCTTCTCCGAACTCTTTACATATGCTGTCACTTGTTGTCTCTTTCTCCTTCTCTCTAGTAGTCATCTCTTTGTCTTTAGTCTTTCTTTTGCTTTCTTCTGCTCTGGTTATTCCCTGTCCCTGCTGTATTAGAAACACCATCTGAGCAGTTTTGTAAAACTGGCTGGTAAAAGTCACCGCACTGTACATTTTACAAAATCATCAGCTTATCTTACTGTTAAGTCGGAGCCGCGGATATTTCTGAGCCAGTTAGGCTGAAACGTGTCTTTGGACTGCTGCTTCACCTTAGAAGCATTACTGTTGCCTGTCTGAGGAGCCTGAGGAATAACTTTAACATTGACTTCACTGTTGCTGCCATTTACACATCATCCTTCAGGTTCTGTCAGCGGTCTATCATGTTTGTATACCTTCAACACTCCATATTATTGTAACCTGTCTGTATGTGTTCACAAGAGAGATTCTGCAACAGCAGCCGGGACTCATACACCTGGTAGTGAAAGGGAGAGAGTGTGTCAGGTGTTTTGTCCTGGAGGCGGAAGTTGGTCTGGCTGGTGGAGCATTTTGGCCAGTCACACCAGTGCAAACTTTGGCTGAAGTTTATCAGATGTTACTGTAAATGTGTGCTGGAATTTCCTGCATTATGAGTGCTAGATTTGTGGGAATCACTGAAACAATCCTGCACTAAGCTTATTCTGCTGTGGTCTTTCATGTATAAAAGGCACTCTGGGGGAGAATGTCAGGTAGATGTGTTGCAGTCCTGCAGGTGGTCATGAGAATCAGGGAGGATATGAGACATTGACTCAGACCACACAGCTGAGCTTTGCCTCTGTTAATCCAGAGGGAAAAATGTGAACCCTCCTTGTTCTCATGTTGCAGGTGGGCAAGAAGACAAGACTGGAATGATCTGTGCTTGTTCAGTTGTTAAACGTGACACTGTGCAGAAGTTTTTCCACATATTTTATGTCAGTCTGTCTTTTTCACAGGGCTATGTTCGGATATCTGAGGTATCTGTGGGTTCATTCAGAGGTTTATCCTTCACTTGAGTACATTGTGTTATAACTTGAAAACAGAGACTGAGACTTACATTTATTCTCTCGTCTTGCAGGTACACAGGAAGATTCGGGAGGACTCGGACATGGCCCAGGACTCCTTGCAGTGCCTGGCCCAGCTGGCCTCCATGCACGGGCCCATCTTCCCCGACGAGAGCGCCCAGGTCTCCTACCTGGCTCACCTGGTGGAGGGCCTGCTCAGCATGATCAACGGGTCAGTGTGTCACTGTGCTGGAAAGCTGAACTTACAGTTTGTCGGTGGCTCAGAGCTCCTTTCAGTTCTGTGCTTAGTGCTTTGTAGCAGCTTGTAGTTAAAACTAAAGGGATGAACGTCTTACACTCACTTTGTTTGTCTTTACTTGGTGAAGTGTTTTAAGCCAGGCTAGTGGCTTAATGGATCGCAGTGTTGGTCTGTCTGTCAGTGGTCTGGTCCAATATCTCAACAGCTATTAAATGGATGCCGATTGAAGTCCCCCTCCAGACATGTTTTAAATACTTATAGCAATACTAATATTTTGTTTAGCATGGTTTTCCCACATGAAAGGTAAAAAAAAAAAATTCTGACAAAGGTCTGGCAGCAGATCTACTCTGTCTCCCTCACTGAGAAACTCTGGATCTGGCCTCTGCCCCGCCCACCACCACTGTTTGTGGTACGTTTAGCTTTCTACCTTCTTCAGGGCTGCTTGCGTTAGGTTGACCGGTGAAAGATGAGTATTCGCCAGAATGGCTAGTGCTAGCATCAGAGGAAACATTGTAGAGATGCAGCCAGACATGTTTGACCCTCTGTCAGACCCAGACCCAGACTCAGATGAGATGAGGAGTCTGTTGTGCACCAAAATAGACGACAGGCAGACTTATCAGAATGGTATCAGCAGTTAGCATCTTTTATTTGTTTCTGTTGTTTTTTAGCTTGTAGCCTAACTGGCAGTTTCGGACACATTGTTGTTTTTTGTGAAACTTACAGTAATATCTGCTACGACGGAGTTTTTGGAAGGTATAGTGAAAGGAAGCTTGAAGATCCGATCTGCATCCAAAATCTGGTCACTGTAACATGTTTGCTGTCACAGCTTTCATCATGCTAATGCTAAGTCGGATCTCTGCACTGACAAGTCCGATCTGCGCTGGGCTGTGCTCAGGTTTGTTTGCCATTGTTGTGTTGAAGTCCCATATTAGACAGCGACTGGCTTTCATATTAGCGACATGCCTAATCTAGCTTGCCTGGTGTTCATTTGCAACTGGGAGATATTTTCCTCGAGGGCTTTCTACCAGGGGATTTCTTGGTAAGGGTTAGGAAAAAAGTCGTGGATTGGGTTAAAATGAAGACATTTCTCTCAGAACAGGCTGTCTTGGGGAAAGCCTACAAGAAACACTTACCCCATGTGCTATACATTGGTATTGGTATCATACAGACGCCTGGGAAGCATGCCTCCACCAGATGACACCACCAGATTTATCTCAGATTTTAGGGAAGTGCCAGGCATCACCCCCTTCAGTAGAGGAATGTGAACACCTCTATAGTGACAAACTTTGCACAGAAACAAGTCGGTATAGTCAAGGTCAGACTTTTTTCACTCCTTTCACAAGACATTACCACATGGATAATTGATATCAGTTGAAAATAAAGGGCAAATTGCACTCGACTGCAAAACTTTATGGCCATGTTTTTGCCGTATATCATTAGCGCAATATTTTGTGTGAATCGGGCCGTAAGATGGCGCAGATAGTGGTTGCAAGTGATGCAAAATTCATACTGGTATTAGCGGCTGCAGTCCAATCTTCATCGGAGTCTAAGGGTCAGATTTATTCAGAATATAGTTTCATATTTTCTTTAAGTACTTGTTCTCAGCCTGGAGGAGCGTCAGCATTGTCCTTCAAGTTGAGCTCAAGAATATACTGACATATTTTAAATAGACGAGATATCATGTTGGATTCTGGTTATTGTGAGACACACTGAAGGTTAAATGTTGCTTGTGGTGTTTCTGTAGTTTGAGGCAAAGTGCGAACTGTTATTGGCGTCTTGTTTGAATAATGTTGCCCCAGCTTGCTGATTAAACAGTGACGGTGTTGGCATCAGGGTGTCCACCAGCCACTGTGGAGAATTTCTACCATTTCAGGGTTAAATTTTAAGGACTGAACCAGTGCAGTGTGTCTGAAGTGTATTTATCAGTGAAATGTGAGGTTGTGTGCTGATAAGTAGTGCCAGTAACAGGAATGACTTTAAGGACAGGTTTAAATTTGTCTTAAAACAACACTAATATGCCACTTGCATCTGGTTATTGCTCCTCCTCTTCATATTAGCTGTGAAGAGATCCCAAAATCATCGGTTCTCACAGTATGGACCTGCTTGATTTAAAATGGTGTTTTCAAAGCTGCAGTTTTGTTCCAGTTGATACCAGCAGTCATTTAACTAATTTAAACATGTCACATTAATCTCTGTCTTGCTTTCTTTTGACAATTTGGCACGTCTTGTGTTTGATAATCTGCGGCACCTTCAGGTGATTTGGCACTGACAGGTGAGGCTGTTACGAACGACAGATGGAAGTAATTCAAATCTGCCCATTGAAAGCAGATCCCCCGGGATGAAGAGGTTATTACACACCCGCCACACTAAAATTAATGAACTTTCCTTTGCTCAATGGATCGCATTGTGCAGGGAATGACTGGAGAATAAAGAGCATAAAAATCACATGAGGTCTAAGGACTGCATTTACAGAATAATAATATTGTGTAATAAAGGCCACATGTCTGCGTTTGTGCACTTAAATCTAAATTTAATGCTTTTCTACAACCTCTGCTGTTCATTTTATGTAGCGTAGCGTTCACAAAGCAGGATCAGTCAGCACAGTTACTCTTCTATTACCTTGACTACGGTCTCAGTGGCTGTTTATCTCCCTCCACAATCTCAAGGATTTCATGTTTCTTAAATTCAGAAACTCAACAAGTGATGGGAGGCCAACGTCAGCAGGAGTGTGACTCATACCGTGCCATTTCTGCTTTATTTACAGGAAGTAATTGCTTGTTGAGTCTGTGTTTTTAATGGCCTCTGATTCCAGCATCTGTGCACAGTGTATGGGAAACTGGCTGGAGAGGGAACAGTGTGTCTTCCACTTCAGTAACAAATAGAGTTAACCAGGAATTTGCGTTTTCCCAGTTTCATCTGAAGCAGAATTTACGTGAAAGTGGATCAAATTATGGCTTTAGTCGTCACAGAGACTGTTTATTCAACGGGGGAGGAAAAGTCATCACTAGCAACCACTGAAACACTGGTAAATACTGGGTGTACGTGTGTGTAAGTGTGTCAGTCCTACAGTAGTTGCCCTCTAATTTAAAGTGAAGCTGTCCGACCTTTAACATAAAGCTGATGTTGAATCCAGAGTGGCATAGGTTTAATATTTAAACTATTTCTTCTTCTATAAAAAGAAATATTCTAACCTGCATTGCGTATGAAACCACATACTTTGCTGTACATACCCAATATGTGTATTGTCATTCAGCATACTTTTATGTACATGAACAGTAGTGTGTGTCTTTTTGGACGCACTGAGCTGTAATTACCACGCCACTTCTTGAGAGCCTCTTTGCCATTTGGAGACTCATAACCATGGCAACCTACGCCAGCCTCATCTGTACCATCATCTGCAGCATGATGAACCCTCTGGAGCTTTTATTTTTCATAACGTCTGTTGGAGAAAGTTATTTCAGCTGTTGGAAATGCTAACCACAGCCTAACTCGTTGTGTAACATCTCGTCACAGGCATCTTAGCTACATGCTGATAAGCTAATGTGTAGCAGGAATAATGTTTATGTGTGTACCAAATGTCGTGGCACGCCATGCAAATAGTCTCTGAGATATCTCAATCTGGATCAAAGGGTTGGAGTGACCGACCAATGTCCCTGGAGCCACGCCGCTTGCATGGCTAACAAAAAGCCCAAACAATGATGTTCCATAACAAAGCTGTAATAAGTCATCCATCTGTCATGGTTTCCCAACCACAATACTTCATATGGTGTTTTCTAAATTGCACATCAGGCAGCAGACTCATGACCAAAATAATTCATCACTTATTGATGTTACAGAACGGCCATGGTCACTGCTGCTGTTGGTAATGTTTTCATCACTACTGCATTGCATTGTGGGATATTTATGCCAGCGCAGTGTCCAATGTTGCCACATTATAATGTTTATTTGGAAATATTATGTCATTCACATTCTTGTGGTTTCATACTAAGGCTTCAGACATACGAAAACTCATACACACTATTTTAACTTACTAAATAGCATGTTAGTATGGGTAGAAGCCATCTGGTAACTGTGGATCATTGATATCTGTAAAATAATTTCAAGCAGGAGTCGGACATCAATAACAAAATGTAATTTTGAAGGGGCGTCGGTGGCTTAGTGGTAGAGCAGGCGCCCCATGTATAAGGCTGTTGCCACAGCGGCCCGGGTTCGACTCCAGCCTGTGGCCCTTTGCTGCATGTCACTCCCTCTCTCTCTCTCCCCCCCCTTTCACACTTGTCTGTCCTATCAATTAAAGGCTTAAAATGCCCGAAAAAATATCTTTAAAAAAAAAAAATGTAATTTGAGAAATAATTCCATCTCGTAAGGGGCTCATTGCATGGGTTAAGTTTACTCTCAAAAAAAATATATAAGATGCAAGTCTCCTTCAAAAACAATCGAAGGCACACTGTAGGGTTTGTGCAAAAAATGCCTGTATTTTACGTGGCAATATAGATTTAAAAAAAAAAGACTAAGTTCTGACTCAGAGGTCTTCATCAGGGTCAATGCCTGCTGTAGCTACAAACCTTTTTCACTATAGTCAACTAAATGTTGACTAGTGCTTTTATAGAAAAGTTATAAATATGTATAGATGATTAAAATAAAACAAAGTGAAACAGCATAATGCACATAAATATAAGTAAGCAGGAAACGAAACTATTTCAAGCACCTTTTAAGCTCATATGTCGCAAAGTGCTTAACAGTAAAAGACAAGAGCAAGACATGAAATACAATTAGCCACAAAATATGAGAAATTATAGTCACTGAAATATGTTACAGTGAAAAATTCTGTCACATTATTTTGGCACATTTATTTTTCTAAATGAAAAGGAAACCACACTTTATTTTTTAAGGTATTCTAAAGAAGTGGGAAACACAGAAATCTAGTAAATGAATGTAACATGGAAATAAAGTTAAAACTGGAGCTGATTCAA